AAAGTCTCTCAGACCACAGTGCAATCAAATTAGAACTCAGGATTAAGAAACACACTCAAAACTGCACAACTACATGGAAACTGAACAACCTGCTCCTGAATGACTACTGGATAAATAATGAAATGAATGCAGAAATAGAGATGTTCTTTGAAACCAATGAAAGCAAACACACAACATACCAAAATCTCTGGGATACATTTAAAGCAGTGTCTAGAGGGAAATTTATATCACTAAATGCCCAATAGAGAAAGGAAGAAGGATCTAAAATCAACACCCTAACATCACAATTAAAATAACTAGAAAAGAAAGAGCAAACAAATTCAAAAGCTAGCAGAAGACAAGAAATAACTAAGATCAGAGCAGAACTAAAGGAGATAGACACAAAAAACCTTTCAAAAAATAAATGAATCCAGGAGCTGGTTTTTTGAAAAGATCAACAAAATAGATAGACCACTAGCCAGACTAATTAAAAAGAAAAGAGAGAAGAATCAAATAGATGCAATAAAAAAATGATAAAGGGATAACACCACTGATCCCACAGAAATACAAACTACCATCAGAGATTACTAGAAATACTTCTATGCAAGTAAACCAGGAAAGCTAGAAGAAATGAATAAATTCCTGAACTCTTACACCCTCCCAAGACTAAACCAGGAAGAAGTCAATACCCAAATAGAACAATAACAAGTTGTGAAATTGAGGCAGCAATTAATAGCCTACCAACCAAAAAAAGTCCAGTACCAGACAGTTTCACAGCTGAATTCTACCAGAGGTACAAAGATGAGCTGGTACTATTCCTTCTGAAACTATTCCAAACAATAGAAAAGAGGAAATCCTCCTTAACTCATTTATTTTATAAGGCCAGCATCATCCTGGCCTGGCAGAGACACAACAAAAAAGAAAATTTCAGGCCAATATCCATGATGAACATTGATGCAAAAATCCTAAATAAAATACTGGCCAAATAAAATACTACCAAATCCAACAGCACACCAAAAAGCTTTCCCACCACATTAAAGTTGGCTTCATCCCTGGAATGCAAGGCTGGTTCAACATATGCAAATCAATAAACATAATCCATTACATAAACAGAACCAAAGACAAAAACCACATGATTATCTCATTAGACACAGAGAAGGCCTTTGAAAAAATTCAACAGCCCTTCATGATAAAAACTCTCAATAAACTATATATTGATGGAATATATCTTAAAATAATAAGAACTATTTATGACAAACCCACAGCCAGTATCATGCTGAATGGGCAAAAGCTGGAAGCATTCCCTCTGAAAACTGGCACAAGATGAGGATGCCCTCTCTCACCACTCCTATTTAACACAATATTGGAAATTCTGGACAGGGCAATCAGGCAAGAGAAAGAAATAAAGGGTATCCAATTAGGAAAAGAGGAAGTCAAATTGTTTCTATTTGCAGATGACATGATTGTATATTTAGAAGACCCCATCGTCTTAGCCCAAAATCTCCTTATACAAAATCAATGTGCAAAATCGCAAGCATTCCTGTACACCAATAACAGACAAACAGCCAAATCATGAATGAATTCCCATTCACAATAGCTGCAAAGAGAATAAAATACCTAGGAATACAACTAACAAGGGATGTGAAGGAACTTCAAGGAGAACTACAAACCACTGCTCAAGGAAATAAGAGAGGACACAAACAAATAGAAAAACATTCTATGCTCATGGTTAGGAAGAATCAATATTGTGAAAATGGCCATTCTGCCCAAAGTAATTTATAGATTCAATGCCATCCCCATCAAGCTACCATTGACTTTCTTCACAGAATTGGAAAAATCTATTTTAAATTTCATATGGAACCAAAAAAGAGCCAGCATAGCCAAGAAAATCATAAGCAAAAAGAACAAAGCTGTAGGCATTATGCTACCTGACTTCAAAGCTATAGTAATCAAAACAGCATGGTACTGGTACCAAAACAGAGATATAGATCAATAGACCAGAACAGAGGCCTCAGAAATAATGTCACACATCTACAAGCCTGTGATATTTGAAAAACCTGACAAAAACAAGCAATGGGGAAAGGATTCCCTATTTAATAAATGGTGTGGGGAAAACTGGCTAGCCATATGCAGAAAGCTGAAACTGGATCCTTTCCTTACACCTTATACAAAAATTAACTTAAGATGGATTAAAGACTTAAACATAAGACCTACAACCATAAAAACCCTAAGAGAAAATATAGGCAATACCATTCAGGACATAGGCATGGGCATGGGCAAGGACATCATGACTAAAACACCAAAAGCAATAACAACAAAAACCAAAATAGACACGTGGGATCTAATTAAACTAAAGAGCTTCTGCACAGCAAAAGAAATTATCATCAGAGTGAATAGGCTACTTACAGAATGGGAGAAAATTTTTGAAATCTATCCATCCGACAAAGGGCTAATATCCAGAATCTACAAAGAACTTAAACAAATTTACGAGAAAAAAATAACCCCATCAAAAAGTGGGTGAAGGATATGAACAGACACCTCTCAAAAGGAGACATTAATTCAGCCAACAAACTTATGCAAAAAAGCTGTACATCACTGGTCATTAGAGAAATACAAATCAAAACCACAATGAGATACTATCTCACGCCAGTTAGAATGAGGAACATCAAAAATTCAGGAGACAACAGATGCTGTAGAGCATGTGGAGAAATAGGAACGCTTTTACACTGTTGGTGGGAGTATAAATTAGTTCAACCATTGTGGAAGACAGAGTGGTGATTCCTCAAGGATCTAGAACTAGAGACACCATTCTAGAACTAGAAACACCATTCAACCCAGCAATCCCTACTGGGTTTATACCCAAAGGATTATAAAACATTCTATTATAAAGACAAGTGCACACTTAGGTTTATTGTGGCACTGTTCAGAATAGCAAAGACTTGGAACCAACCCAAATGCCCATCCATGATAGACTAGATAAAGAAAATGTGGCATATGCACACCATGGAATACTATACATCCATAAAAAAGGATGAGTTCATGGCCTTTGCAGGAACATGGATGAAGCTGCAAACCATGATTCTCAGCAAACTGACACAATAACAGAAAACCAAACACCACATGTTCTCACTCATAAGTGAGAGTTGAACAATGAGAACATATGGACACAGGGAGGGGAACATCACATACCGGGGCCTGTTGGGAGGATAGTATTAGGAGAAAAACCTAATGTAGATGACAGGGGGATGGATGCAGCAAACCACCATGGCACGTGTATACTTATGTAACAAACCTGCACGTCCTGCAAAATAAATGAGTAGATTGCTCCGTAAAAAAAAAAGAAAAAAAAGAAGAAGGCAGGGTGGTTAGGATGAAATGCAATGAAAATTAATGGCCTGAAAGTTTTTAAGCTCTGTATGTTTTTTCTTCAGATGAGAACCCTGCCATTATTTTCAAAGAAGAGAGCCAAAGAAATAAGCTCCAGAGAATAAAAATCAAGATTACAAAACCAAGTCAGGCATAGAGCCTAAATAAACGCTTCACAAAGCATAAATTTACATTCACCTCTTGTTATGCCCTAACATGTGATTTAAGAAGAAATATGGACAGGAGAGAACTTTTCCACTTTTAGGGACGTTGGAGGATAAGAACTGATCAATACTCAGGAATTAACCAAGAGTGTCAATCCAGGATAAAAATGAATGTGAACAGCTGTGTTTCCCAATTTGACCTCAGGACATCAGATCTTTAGTATTTCCATAATATGACTATAAAAAGTATGTCCCTCTACCCTTATTGCTTTCCTTAATGGATAATGCTTCTGGCTTGGATCTTTGTGTGGAAAAAAGGATCTTTTGTCTCATAAAATGTTACAGATGTTGCTATGGTAACACATTTTAATTTTATTCCTATCTCAGAAGATAAACATGGGAAAATGCAATTGGCAATTTAATCTAATATTTAGCATTTGCTTTAAGTCCACAGAGCATTTTGATTTTTGTTTTTAAGGAGCTTGGCACTTTTGTTAACCTGCTGTACTCAATTAAACAAAATCCTGAAGGCCCGTCTAAAAGGTATTACTTTGCCAACTTGAAAATACCATGTGGCCAAGTTTTAAAACCCACAAGGGAGAGAAAGCATGCTGCTTCTATGACAAAATTCTTAGGTGGCCAGGATGAGTTTGTATTTGTGGGAATTTTCTTCTGGGCCAAAAACAAAAATCAAACCTTTCAGCATTTACAAAGAGAGAATCAATTTGGTTTGAAATAATACCCTCCTGTTAAATAGACAAATGATTATTGAATGTTTGTTCTAGTAGTAAGCCTTGCAACATATAGCAGTAAAACTTTTGACAGTAAAGCAAGTTGTTTACTCTGCACTCGGTAAATAACCAAGGTTATTGCATACAGAGGCTGTAATGTGAAGCCCTGTTTCCTGTTGAATTATAACGATATATGTTTACACGGTAGTTAAAGACTTCCATACTTGCCAGCATCATAAAACAAGGCAAAAAGCACAAGCAGAAGGGAAAACACAGGAAACATGGTCAAGATTGCACTGCAGGAATTTAAATCCTGTGACGTTTCCTCTAGCATTGCAAAGAGACATCAGCCCCTGATGGCATTTTTCAAAAGCCATCAGTCCCACTTCACATTTTTAAATGATTTTCTAGGCAGCAGATGAGTTAATGAAGGGTGTGGTCAATTTATACAAGTTTCAGTTACAAACCTGTGGGGGTCAAGTCTGATTTCGATTCACCATATGCCGCACTAACCAATTCCAGAGCGCATTTGGTCTGCATCTCAGACAAGAATCCTGATTCATTCATTACATGATTAGAAAGCATGCAGCCTGCTTAATTTTAGTTATCTTCGATCTTTTTAGAATAATAAAAAAGTCATCATTATTACGGATTCATACAATGACATTTAGAAATTTCCATAATGAATGCACTAACACTACAGCCCTTTTGAAATACCACAACACATGCAAGTTGCCAGTAATTAGACCGAAGTGCCTACCTAAGTTGTTCTTGAAGCAAGCTTCAGCCCTTTGTAATATTTTCCCTTCATAAAAGTCCCCAAGTATTTACAGTCTGTAGATGAGATCATTCTCTTGAAATGGTAGAGATTAAATGAGAGGAGGAATGAGAGTCAAAGAGAGGTTGTTCGCACTAACACTGTGTGTATTGAAAAGATTCCACGGCACTATCTCAGTTCTCATTGGTCACTCGGCGGGCTGGAACAATATTTGCTCCAGTTGCTATGCAGAGAGGAGTGGCTGCCAGTTCACTTCACTAATAAGCCTGAACCTGGCCTCTGCAGATAAGAGTAGTTATTGTTTGAGTTAATGTGCTTGCTGATAAGATGCTCACCAAGGCAGGTAAAAGAGAGATTTTTCTTTTATGAACAACCGTAGAATTGTTATAGATATTTCTCTTGTCACTTTCTGAATTTTAACAGCTGTTGCAAAAAGTAAACCAGGAGACAATTCCTGTTTTTATTTTTTTAATTAGTCTTTCCTTTTTCAGGAATGCACATCTGTCTAAAAGATCACACTTAAATATTTTCCTAAAAAGGACACCATCCTTAAAATATAGAAGAATAACTCACACACCCCAACGCTGAAAACCAATTAAAATATACTTAAAGCATTCCATGGTGCTATTTTATAGATATATAATACATTTGTAGAATATGTGTATTACATATGATATGCATATATAAATATTTATATATAAAACATACATATATACATACACAAACACACATATATTAGTGGAAGTTATTTTAGGAAAAATTTCCCAAATTTCAAATGAAGTAGTTTGGATTTGCAGGTATCTTATACATACAGAAACCCTATCACCAAACTCTGTGAGCAAGCCTAATGCACACATATGTATGAAAGTTTGAATAATACAGGACTAATGTAAAACACATGTCAATTTAGGCAGAGTTGAAAAAAAATTAAAGACACATGTTTTTCTTTTTGTATTTAGAGAAATACCCTACTTTTTTTTTTCAATTTATACTGATTGTATGCATTTTTGGGGGATTGTGTGAAGGAAGGCTTCGGATACTGAGTTTAACTTCATGTAATAATGAACAGAGGCATATGAAAACAAGAATATTTAATATGCCTTTAATGACCAACTTTTAATGTACCCAAAACTAGGAGAAAAATGGAACAAATTACTTAACAAGTGGGATGCTTTTCAGTGTTCTGATACAGAATTTCTAAAAATTATCAATTATGATGGAAATCATCTATATACTTCTAATTTTCTCTTACCATTAGGTCCATAAAGCTCAATGATTTTTTGCTATATATTTACTGGTTACTAATAGAAATAAAAACTAATAAACTAATATATTCATAAAACTTCTCACAAAACCCAAGGGCCCAAGTTGCTTTAAACTCTGCCCTAGAATAATAAGAAATTTCAACTTTTATCTAGAGTATTTTAAAAATTAAAATGAAAAATATTTTTAGATAATTGAAAAGAACCTCAATAGACAATCCAACAGGAAAGTTTCTGATTTTTTAAAAAATTACTTAAAAAAATTTATAGATTTAGGGGATATAAATGCATTTTTATTGTATGGACATATTACGTAGTGATGAAGTCTGGGCTTTTAGCGTACCCATCACCTGAACAGTGTACATCATACCCAACAGGTAATTTTTCATACCCCTTCCCATCCTCCCACCTTTTGGAGTCTCCAAAATCTATTATTCTGATATGTCCACGGGTACAGATTATTTAGCTCTCGCTTCTAAGTGAGAACATGTAGTGTTCGACTTTCTGTTTCTGAGTCATTTCACTTAGGATAATGGCCTCCAGTTTCATTATTTTTTTATGGCTAAGTAGTATTCCATGGTGTATGTGTGTGTGCGTGTGTGTGTGTGTGTGTGTGTGCACCACATTTTTTAAATTCAATCAACCATTGATGGACATGGGACACTTAGTTTGATTCCATGACTTTGCTTTCCATTTGCTTTGTGGTTTTAACTTATATTTCTCTGTGTAATTAGTGATGTCAAGCATTTTTTCATGTTTGCTGGCCACTTATATGTCTTCTGTTGAAAAATGTCTGTTCATTCCTTTGTACACTTTTTGATGGAGCTGTTTATTTCTTGTTGAGTTGTTTGAGTTTCTTGTAGATTCGAGATATTAGTCCTTTGTCAGATGCTAGACTGCTAATATTTTCTCCCATTTTGTAGGTTGTCTGTTTACTCTGATGACTGCTTCTTTTGCTGTGCAGGAGCTTTTAATTAAATTAAATCTTATTTGTCTATTTTTGTTTTTATAAAAAGAATTTTTGAACTCTAACATGCGGGAATCACATGATGCTACTAAAATTTGGGTACTTACAAAATGAAGCTAGAGAGAGACAACTCACTGGTCAAGTAAGGGAATTGATGCTCACAGCTAGAAAAAGTGATGCAGAATGTGGTTCCAGTTGTTTTTCTGTGTTGCCTCCTCAATTAAGACAACGTGTTTCCTGAGGAAGTTTTGAAAGAACAATCTGGTATATCCCTGGCTTCACTGCATTTGCTGATCTCTGTTGGGCCTGGCCAATCCACACTATCCAGAAACCCTTCATTGTGTGTTCATGAAAAACACACAAATAAATGAGCCCAATGTTTATATTAATGTGCAGATTTCTTCTGTTTAGCACTTTATTTTAATAGCGGGTTAACACTGAGAGTATAGGAAAATAATGAAATTGGTGATCCTCATGCCACTGTGGAAAGAAACGTGCTAACAAATATATTTATTAAACAGAACATGTTTATGTCTTCATGGACTCAAGAATCAGTATAACTTCCATGATATAAATATGTGGAGATAGCTGAGCATGGTGGCTTATCCCTGTAATTCCAGCATTTTGAGAGGCTGGGGTAGGAGGATCTCATGGGACTAGCAGTTTGAGACCAGTCTAGGCAGCATAGGGAGACCCTATCTTGACAAAAATAGAAAAATTAGCTGGGCTTGGTGGCACATGCCTGTAGCTCCAGCTACTTAGGAGGCTGAGTGGGAGGATCTATTGCGCCTGTGCGGTCGAGGTTGTAGTGAGCTGTGATTGAGCCACTGCATTCCAGCCTGGGTGACACAATGAGACGCTGTCTCAAAATTAAAAATAAATAAATAAATAAATGGAATTGATTAGTATAGATAAATATCTCCCTGTGAAAAACTGAAAGAATTTTATCCTTTAAAACAGGGTATATATCTAGAAAGGAATGTAAGCTGAGTTTGGTGTTTCTAAAAATCGATTACTTTCTAATAACTGATACCCTAGTACTCCTAGAGAAAGTTTTCTGTGGGATGATAGCCAAAGAGATTGGCTAAATGCTAAGAGACTATATTCTTTCTCTTACATTATCTCTGCCCTATTTTGTACTATTATAACCAATAGTATCCAGAATTCGGTCACAAGACAGGTCAAAAGTTCTAAGGGTATTTTAAGGAAGAACAAATTCCACATCATTACATAACACAAAACATGGGAATTCTGCAACAGCCACTAGCATTATCTGGCTAGATTTAGAAGACAAAATTTTCTCAAGGCTATAAAATTTAACAGAGCATTAAAATATACCACAAGGAATCAGCTTTTTGATTATGACAGCTTTACCTTTCAATTCAGACAGATTCTCTTTTATGAGCTCTTCTTTTTTTTCATGAAGTAGGGTGATGGTGACAACATCAAGTATATTATTCACTAATATACTAGAAATACCATGAAGCAGAATTGAGCTTCTTCTTGGAGTGTAAATCTGTACGTGTGTTTTCCTGCTGGAGGACCTCCTGGCTTTTCCTCGACCTCCAGATGACTTTAGCATGCGCCACCACACCCAGTGAATTTTTTTTTCTTTTTGTAGAGACGGGGTTTCACCACGTTGCCTAGTCTGGTCTCCTGGGGTCAAGTGATCTGCCTGCCTCGGCCTCCCAGTGTTGGGATTATAGGCATGAGCCACTGCACCTAGCCAAGTTTTCTTAAGGGTAATATAATATTGAATTTAAGAAAATATGTGGTCCCCTTATGGGAGCAAATATGAGGGTGGATCTGCTTTTGATCAATGTAGAGACCTATGACTTAATCTACAGTGATTTTCCCTAAAAACATAAATATATAAACTTAAAATGAATAATTACATTAATGGCCTTGGGATCCTAGAGAAATTAATTTTGTGCATATATAACAGTATATGTTATTTTATTTCCATAGGTTCAGCTCCCAAACTTTCAATTCCTCCATGGATTTCTGTCATTAGTCTCAGTCAAGAATTTTAATAGGCATTGTATAACCCCTCCTTGACCATATATAGAAAACATCTTGTCTAGTCTATTCACAATTTTAGATTATTTCATCTTCTCTAGTAAGACCTTGAAGAGCAATGTATTATATTTGTATTTCTATCTGTGCCTAACAGTGTTATGCCATAGAGACTGAACAGATTCTTGCTAAGTAGACAAATAAATGAATGTAATGGATACAATGGGCTCTAAATTTCTCTTCAAAGAATCAATATGTCAGTATGCTCAGTTGTTTGTCCTCCATTTGAAAGTTTAACCTCCTTGTAGTTTCAGTAAACAACCTTCTCCACCAGTTCTAATCAGTAGTTCACATCTGTTCCCCTGGCCCCCAGCTCTGTCCTGACTCATCCTGGTTACCTGCTTCGATCACCTGCTTTGACCTAGATCACCCCTGACTACCTGCTTTGACCTGCTTGTAACCATCTTTCCTGCCAAACCACCCACCTTGCCACTCCATCTTGGACCCCTGCTCTCTTTAAAATAGCCAATCAGGATTAGTCTAGCTTGTGGGGTCTAACCCTAGCCAATAGGGGAATGATACAGCAGTAGCGGTGATCCCCATCAGGAATAACTGCCCCTTTACCTCCCTTGTCCAAATGTGTGGTCACCATTGCTCCATTCATGAGCTGCACCCTTCTAGAAGTAAACTGCCTTGCTGAGGATTTATCTTTGAGTGCTATTTCTTTTGTGACATCAAAATGTTACTTATAACACAGTTATATATTTATAGGAAAAATTATGAAGAGATTATATGCTAAAAGTCATGGTCAGTTGAAGGGGAATAGGTCACCTCAGTTGAGACACTGGTAATGTTGGAGTCTATATGACCTCATCTAACCTCACGTAACCTCTAAGAAATACTGGCTTTATTAGCATTTGAACAAGAGACCTAGAAATGTTAATTCAGGTATCTCAGCAACTGCTGAGTGAATTGCCTGTGAGTCACATTTGAATATTGTGAACTATGATAATGTCATAGTAAAGGACAGCTAGGCTCAGAATAAAACCCTCATCTTCTCATCCTAGTGAAGCCCAGACAGATTCTCTTCTACACTGACAGACAGTGGATACTAGGAAGGTGAAGGGTGAGAGAAGGATAGATGAAGACAGACTACTTAACGGGTGCAAGGTATGTTACCTGAGTGATGGATATCCTAAAAGCTCTGACTTCAACACTACACAATCTATGTATGTAACACAATTACACTTGTACCTCATACATTTATATGAATAAGTTGTTTTTTATTAAAAGTGTTTTTCTTCCACAAAACCAGAGTTGCTTCACAATTCTTGGTCATCAGTAGAACATAGACTGACAATCAGTGCTTTGGGGAAGAGATTTATATAATGGAGAGCTACCTGATCTTGGAAAATCTTAGCTTGTAACACATCACATCAAGCAAAAGCTTTCATAATGCATTATATATATAAATAGGGAACACCACCACTTTCTTATACGACTTTAACTAAGAATGAATAGTGTGACCTTGCTAAAGTGTCACACTTCAAAATCTACAATCATTTAAAAGACAAATTAAAATTATTAACAAAAGAAAACTGAAGAGGAAAATTGGCAAATAGTTTCATAGTTAATATTTTTGTGGGTTTCTTGATCTCAGTTTAAGTGAGATTTGACTTTAATCATGGACATGGAGTGATGTAATGGAAAGATATCTGACTGATAGCAGGATGCTTCTGGTTATGGTCTATGTGTCTTTAAATGATAGAGTACCTCAAGGCTCTGCCTGAGTCTCATTTCCCAGCAGAAAAGACATGCTTTAACTGCCTTATGTAAGCCACTTCTGATCCCTTTCCCCTGAGCTCCAGATTCTTATGTACAACTGCTCTGAGACTGCTAGTCAGATACCTAATAGGTATCTCCAACTTAACATGTCTGAAACAGAAGCTTGACGCCAACTCTCTTCTCAGTCACTTGCCTGTCAAACTTGCCCATCCACCATTTGTTCCCATTTCAGCTAACAGATCCACTATCCACTCACTTGCTTAAGCCCCAAATCGTTATTTATTCAACTGTCTGCCACTCCCCACAAACAATCTGTCAAGTTCTTCCAGCTCTCTCTCTAAAAACATACTGCAAATCCAACTTCTTTTCACCATCTCCACTCCTATT